CAACTGCAACTGTGATTTCTTTTCTTTGAGGCATTCTATGCGGTTCGATTAAATAAAAACAACAAATATAACTGAATATAAAAAACTCCAACCTAAGTCAGGGTATGTCTATCTCACAGATTAAACTGGAATTTGGATAACTGATAAATGCATAATGATAATAATGACAATGCATCTATTGTGTATTTCGTATATACACAGTTACAAGTTTAGCTAGGACCAGATTTTATTGTTATCTTAAAATTCGTTTCAGAATTCATTGATTCTATTTCCTATAGGGTTTCCCAACTGCAACTGTGATTTCTTTTCTTTGAGGCATTCTATGCGGTTCGATTAAATAAAAACAACAAATATAACTGAATATAAAAAACTCCAACCTAAGTCAGGGTATGTCTATCTCACAGATTAAACTGGAATTTGGATTTTTAGGTTTTGTGGAAGGAGGAAAACCGTAGAAAAATACTTGTAGCACAGGATATATAAAACCTATAAGCAACTCTACTTACTAACACGCGACGACGAGCCGTGCGGGACTCTCAACGCTACCTACGCTAATCGTGCTTCCTAGACTATCTTACATACATTTAATTAAAACTGAAACAAATACAAAGCATATTATATTTAGAGGGCAAAACGGCTATCCCAATGCATATTTACAAGCAACATGTTGTACAGGAAAACCTTTCAATTTTTAAGCCTTGTTTAAGTTTGCTTATGTAGGGCGGGCCTTAGAGGTTCTAACGAGAAAGGCATTAATAACAGGAATAACCAATTGGGATGCATAGAAAGTCAATATACTTCCATCCATCCTTCCAAGCGATGCTAACGAAAACTCCTTTCTCTTACAGCTATTTAAAAATATTTATATACATATAACATATTACCTTATGGTCAACGAAAATTGCGACCCTTTTGATCATTAACGCAAGGGTGCCCTTCATAATCTTTTGCAACGAAAACATTGCGGTGTCTAATTCTTTGTCACAAAGAAAGACACCKCAATGTTTTCGTTGCAAAAGATTCTGAAGTGTGTACGATGTTTGCAAAATTCGTCCCCATATATTTTCTTAAAATTATAAGCAATCGGTTTCATCTATTTAACATTTTACAGGAAGATCCATTGGGATACAGTAAAAGTTCAATAATCCCATTCTATGAAGGCATCGCTAACGACAACTACTTTCTCGTAAAGCTATCTCAATATATGTATATACATATGTATATATTACTGACCTGTATTTATTTGAAAACACATTAGTACGTAACCTTAATATAATTGAACAAAAGGCAATTGCAATTCTTATTCAGAAAGCTTTAAACATCGAAAACGTCCTGTATTTTGCTTTTGCTTTCGTAAATTTCATGTCCATTTTTATTTTCAATTCTGGCTTTTCAGGTTATTACAGACTTTGTCAGACTTAGAGTGATTGTCACACTAAGTGCTAAGAATAAAAGCGAGTGTTTAAATAACAATATATATCCCATCATGCATTGCTATGCAAATATTAGCTTGAACACTCCCTTTTGTGTCACTCTACGACGCATAACAMCTGGTTCTGACCTCCTTTTCTACGTTAACTGAACGTTTCACAACGCGTCATGGCAGAGGGAAATCAGATCCAATATCCAGCACTAGGACAGGTTCCTCCCATTATYCCTCTTCCAGGCCAGGAATTGAGATATWATTCAATCGTATTTTGCCTTCTCGTTTGTTTTGGAAGTTTAACTTGACCATTCAGCCGTGTTGAGGTCTACCACTCAAAGTGTACCAAATTCTGTTAGAAGTTTAACTTGACCACTGAGCCATGTTGAGGTCTACCGCTCAAAGTGTACAAAATGCTGTTGGAAGTTTAACTTGACCATTGAGCCATGTTGAGGTCTACCGCTCAAAGTGTACCAAATTCTGTTAGAAGTTTAACTTGACCATTGAGCCGGGTTGAGGTCTACCGCTCAAATACATGGAAAACTCAACAATGTTCAATATTAAGCGTTCTTAGGCTYATCGTCCAGAGCAGTCAAATCCTTGAACCTTGCTGGGGTCCAATAGCCCGGCCAGAGCGAGTAGACTTTAGACCTTTAGCTGCTTGACTCTGCTGCGGCCTAGGAGCATCAACGGGTTGACTGACRTCCATGGTAGGATCAGCGGTTGATGGCGCTCTTTCACCCTCAGCTGGGCAGTCAGTGCTGACCTTGACATCATGACCACTCAAGTTCACAGCGTCTGTACTAGCCGGGGGCTCTTGCCTAGGTGACAACTGGAACTGGTCACGACGCAGTTGTTCAAAATGTCTCCTCCATACTTTCCCTTGTGTTTGGACTTATAACACCGTATACACTTGTATAACACCGGCCCCACCTACTCCAGTACAGTACCATGAACCCACTTGGGACCATCTCGATAGTTCCGAATCCAGACTCGGTCACCCTCG